CCGGTCAGGGCGAGTGTGGGAGACAACCAATCAATGTGTCTCTCACATCGATGTTTCTCTCTGTTTCTCCCTCTCCCTCTCCCTTCCACTCTCTAAAAAGCAGTGGAAAAGTGTCCTCCAGTGAGGATTAACAAAACAAAACAAATCAATAAAACACATTCTCGGGTGAAGATTTTAAAAAATTGTTAAAATCATAGATTTTATATTGTATATTTCTTATCACAATAAAATGAAAAGCAGAGGAGAGCGATGCCGGTGGCAGCGAATGTGAGGGCAGTGTGTGTCAGTGGGAGCGGGGCCGGAGGAGCCCGGTGTCTCTGGACGACATCACATCGCGACTCTCGCAGTGGGGGACTGACTGCTGGCAACTAGCGGGTGACCCTGGCCGGGGTGTAGGCGGCCCAAGGGGGGGGCACGGCATGTGAATTGAGAACTGTGGGACCCAGTTTCCCAAGTTTCCCACTAGCTGTATCTCTGTTCCCCCTAAACTCGGACACAGGCCTTGGCTGGAGATGGACAAGATGAGGAGACAGGACAGAAATCTCGGGGTGGGCCTGAAGGGAGGAGTAGGAACTGGCCCGCTCTCTCTGCAGGAGGGTGAGGTCTCTACCCTCGAACCCTCCTACACTGCGGGTGGGGGGCAGGGTGCTGACTGTGGGGCCAGCTTTGGAGAAGGGAGCCTGGGGTTCCTCTGCTCCCTGAGACGCCCGTGCCCTGCGTAGTGGGGGGGGGGGCGGGGTGCGGAGTCTTGATTCCCAAATTGGAAGCACATTAATAAGGGGGAGAGGGGAGGAGGCCCCCACCCCCTCCTAGTTGACTCTGCAAATTGCTTCCTCCTGTAAAACCCGACCCTGCTCCAGGGGGAGGGAGCTCCCTCCCAGCCTAGAGGGTGTGGCCACTTGGCAGGGTCCCTGGGGGTCCTTGGACGGGAGCTGGGGGAGGCACCGTCACCCCATCCCTCCCCACTCTCGGGTCCCAGCTAGAGCTGGGCCACTTTGAGGGTGGGAGGCTCCGGCAGCTGGAGAACAGCTGGCCTCGCTGTGGGCTGGGCGGGGAGGAGGGGGAGCATGGGGAGGCTCCCTTAGCTCTCATCCACCGCCTCCCCTTCCTCACCCCCTGGCCGGCCAGCCCAGCCCAGGCTTGGGGTGGGATTCAGGATGGAACGCTGATTTCAGTCATCTTCCCACACTTTGAGGGGCTGGGTCCTGCGAGAGTGGACGCTGCCAGCCGCCAGACCCGCAGGGCCACCAGGCGCGGTGTGTCCAACCAGTGGGCTGGTGCAGGGGAGGCATAAATGTGGGGGACACCTGCCTGGACTTGCCCTGTCTGCCTGCCCGTCCACCAGGGCAGCGGGGAGCCCAAGCCGAGGTCTGGAGGCCGAGGGGCCATAGGGTGGGGGCCTCGCGCCTCTGCAGCAGCCCCAGCTCGGCCTCCGTCCCTGGAGCTGTCCAGCCAGTTATTCCAGCAGGCCTGGCCCCAGGACAGGGAGTGGGCCGCAAGGTGCCCCTTATCTCCCCGGGCCCCGAGCCGGCTCACCCAGCCGCCCAGTTCCCATCCCTGCACCACCCAGCGCACCTCTGACCTCTGCAGCCCAGGGCCCGCTGGTCAGACTGAGGGTAAAGGTAGATGGGACCACAGGAGGTCCAGCCATGGCAATGCCGGCCTCTGCTGGGGGAGGTCGGGTCGGAGGTTGTCTGTGAGGAGGCGGGAGGAGCAGATGGGACAGGGATGGGGATGTCCTGGACATGGCATTGTGGCTGACCCCAGCCCCCAGAGTGGCCTTCCCTTCTTTCTAGGTCTGCCCTGGCCTCTGGGTCTTTCTGCCATTTGTTTTTCTTTCTTTTCTGCTCGCCTCCCCTCCCCTCCCCCCTCCACTCCCCTCCCCTTTCCCCTCCTCAGGAGCAGGTGAACTGGAAAACAGTCCCGTCATCCATTTCTCCAAGGTTCATTCTTGGAGCCTGAGTCCATGAGCAGTGTAGTGAGGCGGCAGGGAGGGGAAGGGGGCGGGGCTGAGAGAGCAGCAGGGCTTCTGTGCAGCTGCAAATGTGAGGAAACAGGGGCCGAGCACAGTCCGAGCCCGGAATGGAGTCCTCCTCTGCACACAGCTGTGCTCTCCTCTCCTCTCCTCTCCTCTCCTCTGTCCTCTGTCTCCTACCCCCTTCCTAGCTTGCCCACTCCTGTATCTGAGTTCATGGATCTTTCCCCTTCCGGACCCTCTAACCCCCCTCTATACCCGGCTCCAAACGCCCCCAGACTCTCCCCCTTCCCCTCCAGTCCGTCTCAAGCTCCACCCGCCTTGTCCCTCACTCAGGTCTTTCTTCCTCTCTCCCCTCTTGGTGGCAAAGCCCAGCAAGGCAGCGGTTCTAGCCACCTGGGCAAGTAAGGACAGGGGGCTGGGGCTGGGGCTGGGGTGGGAACCGCCACCCCCCCAACCCTGCCTGTACAGGGAGATGAGACTCAAGTCTGGGCTGGGGCTGCCACCCAGGAGGCCTGCCCTCTCACCCCCTCACACACTGAGCCCCACATTTGCCTCCGTCCAGCCCCTGCAGCTGCCGAGAGCCTCCCTCACCCCCGCTGGGTCCCGTGTCTGGGGTCTAAGCAGAGGAGGTGGCACACACTGGCCTCAGGCCTCACCCCACAGCGGTAACTGGGGGCCAGAGCAGCCTCCAGACCCAGCTGGCCCTCCTGGGTGTGCCCTGGAGACCGCAGTTCAGTGCCCACTGCCCATGGGCACGCCTCAGCCGGGGACACATTCTCGGTGGGTGTCCCCCGGCACCCGCAGGGCACACCTGCACACAGGCGCCGCTGTGCATGGCTGTGGCTGGGATCACCTGTGCGCGTGTCGGTGCCTCTGCCACACCAGTGCTCCTGGAAAAGGGGACTGGCGTGTGCCGGGGAGCCTGCGGGAGGGACCCACGGGGGTCCCCTCCTCTCCTTGACTGTCCTTGCGGCCACCCCCTCCCCCTCACCAGCTGCCAGCGGTCCCAGCCAGGGCCGCCCCACCCCCGTCTGTCCCAGCTCCCGAGCTGCTGTGTTCGCCATATTTGGCCACAGTGCTCCTGCGGGGGGCGAAAAACCAGGAGGGGGGCCACCGCCTGGGTGGGGGGAGGCGGACAGAGACTTGGGGGAGGCAGGCAAGTTGCTTTGAAAAGTCGGCTGCCAGGGGCCCCCATGCCCTGGGCCGCCACTGCTCTGAGCGAGGCCGCAGGGAGGCTTGGGGGGGAGATGGGTTGAGGACTCGGGTGAGGGTCCCAACTCACTGCAGCCCCCTCCTGCCTCCCGCTGACGGCTGTGCCAGCGTCGACCTAGGGAGAGCCCTGGGCTCTGGCTGCTTTAGTGCAGGAGCCTCTGTGTCCCCAGAGTCCCTGCTCCCCCACATTTTTACTCCCAGAACTTGGCCTGGGGGCTGAGGTGAGGCTGCGATGGGGATACGGTCCTGGGGTGGAGACCTGAGGCACAGTGTGTGGCTGCCTCTGCTGGCTGCCCCGGAGCCCTCCCGAGAGGGCTACAGCAGTGCCGGGGTCCCTGAAGTTGCCCCAGCCACTTGAGCGGAGGGGCGCCCCTGGTCTGGACCCCACTGGGACGCTCAGAGTGGTTGCCATGACAACGTGGCTTCCTCTCTAGCACAGGTGCTGGAGTTCTCAGCCCCATCTCCTTGGGTAAGAGACTGGAGCTAGATTGCCTGGGTTCAGAACCTGCTCTAGCACTTCCTCGCTGGGTGTCCTTGGGCAGGTTGCTTAACCTCTCTGTTCATTGGTTTCCTCATATGTAAAGTGGGAGCAATCATAGTATCTGTCCCAGAGGTTACTGTGAGAATTACATGAGTCCGTGTGCGTAACACACCGGAACAGGGCCTGCCTTTTGGCAGGTGCTGCCGTCAGTAGCAGCATTGAGTCTAAACTCTGTATCCATGTGACATGCGGGCTCCCCGGGCCCTCCCATCCCTGGGACTAGCCACCTCCTTCAAGCTTCCCAAGCCAACAGGGGTCCCCACGGGGAGACCTCCACCCATTCAGCAGGACCTGGAATTCATGTCTGAGGGGGGAAAATTCCCTTCCTGGTTTCTGAGGGGGTCCCCCGCATTCCTGCCCTGCCCCTGCTTGCCCTGCAGCCCAGAGCGAAGCCCCAGGATCTAGCCATCCCAGCACCCTGGGCATGCAGATCCCGAGGCTGATGGGGGTGGAGGGCTTGGGGCTGCCTGGGGGGCGGGGTGGGGGGTCCTGGGTGGGTGTGGTCTAAATTAACAACCTGCCTGGCGTTTGCAGGGAACTCGGAGTTTACAGAGCCTGGCCCGTCCACGATGTGAGCCAGGACAGGGGCGGGCATGTGGGTGGTTTATGGGCTGCTGTAGGCCCAGAGGTGCGGGAACAGGAAGTGGGATGGAGGAGCGGGTGGGGTTGAGCAAGGCTGCTGGCCAGGCACCTTCTGGGCTGCTCCCTTGCCAGCCAGCGGCTCTCCTGCAATTCCTGGGGCACTTCTGCCCCAAGTTTAGGCTCCTTGGCAGGGTTCTCGAGAGTTACCTTTTGGGCAAGGCAAGCCTCACCCTTCCTCACCCACAGCAGGTCCTCAGCAGGGTTGTAGGGATGCTGGGGGAGAAGGAGGGGTGGGGATCCCCGAGACAGGAAGGAGGAGCTGGCAGAGGAGCCCGGGAGCCCCTCAGAGCTGCAGACACCTGGGGCTGCCCCTCCGACCCTTCTCTCCTTGCCCATCCTGCTGCCTTTGACAAGCCTGTGACCTGGCGAGCCTCAGTTTTCCTCACCTGGAAGATGGGCATCACGCCTTGCCCCCTGCCTTGGATTTGGGGATTGAATGAACGGGCTGTGTAGCTAGAAGGCGTTGTTGTTACTGACCACGGGTGTTATGAGTCAGGCATTGTGGTTGGCACTTGTCACGATCCAATTTCAACCCTCGCAACCTCAGGGAGACCCTTTCCTCATTTTACAGGACCAGGGGTCGGACAGGCGAGCTCATCCCTCCCAGGTCACACAGCACTGAGTTAACCTCCGGTGACCTCCGCCTCGCCCCGAGCGCCTGCCCCTGGCGGGGAGGTGGCTGTGGCCTGGGAGGACCCTGGCCCTTACCCTCTCGTCTGCCCCCCAGGCTCAGGCTGCCCAGTGGGCTCAGGCCCAGAGCCCAGAGAAACCAGCACAATAGCGTCCAACAGCTGGACCGCCAGCAGCAGCCCCGGGGAAGCCCGGGAGGATGGGCCCGAGGGCCTGGACAAGGGGCTGGACAACGATGCCGAGGGCGTGTGGAGCCCGGACATCGAGCAGAGCTTCCAGGAGGCGCTGGCCATCTACCCGCCCTGCGGCCGCCGCAAGATCATCCTGTCGGACGAGGGCAAGATGTACGGTGCGTGTGGGGAGGCGCGGGACTGGGACACTGAGGGCTGGGCAAGCAGCTGGCCCTCCCGCCCCGCCCCCTGCTCTCTGCCCCCTCACCCAACCGGTTTGGCCCAGTCCTAAGGCTGCCAGCCGCTGGGCGGGCGAGTCTGTGCGTGCAAGCCTGTGTGTCTGGATCCTCCTCATAAACACGCCGGGCTTGCCCCTCCGCCAGCGCGTGGCTCACACCTCAGCACCCCATCCGCTTCTCCTCTCCTGCCCACTGCCCCTGAGGTTTCGGGGTGACTCAGTGGCCCAGGAAACTGGGTCAGTCCAGTGTGCTCCAGGCGAGGCCTGGGAGAGGCTTCTTCCCTGGCAGGATGTGGGGGAGCCCGAGGGGTGAGGGGTGAGGCCTAGGGCGGGAGTGAGGGGGAGGCCTGCAGGCTGGTGGGAAGCCACCCGTGAAGGGGCTGTGTTGGGAAGAGGGCTGGAGAGACGGCTCATGCCTCAGGCCCTCCCCAGCCTCCCCCTCTGGGGCCCTCTCTGCCACCTTGCCCACCGGCTGCCTCAAAGGGAGTGTCCCCCTTTGCCCAGTGCTGAGGGCTCTCCCCGAGCTGCATTTTTGGGATAACTCAACCCTTCTTGGCCTGGCTCCTTGCCAGCTCCCTCCAACCCTCCCCGGCAGCCTGGCTAAGTGAGGAGGCCCGGCCTCTCCCTCCCAGCACCCAGCACCAGGGGCGTAGGAAGGAGGCAGCTGAGGGCTGCCCGAGTCCCCTGCCCCACCCACTGCCACACCCACCCCAGCACAGCCCTCCCAGGCCACTGGGCAGGCAGATGTTCCACGGGCGGGAGTTCCAGCCCCACTGCCACCTCCCCATGGCGGGGCAGCCCCACGGGTATTTTTAGATGGGGTGGAGGGAGTGGGGTGGAGAGGGGCAGGCAGGAAGGGAGGAGCAGTGGGGCTGGTTCTGTCATCAAAAAGGAATTTGAAGAATGTGGCCATTCTGGGGAGACTGGAGGTGAGGGGCAGGGGGCCTGGATTTGGGGGGTAAGAAGTATACACCCTGAGGACACTGACAGGCAATTAGTCATGTGTCCCGAGCACCCCTCTCCTGGGCCAAGTCCCCCTGCGCAGTCCCCACCCTGAGACTGACAGGCCAGGTGGGTCTCAGGGCGCAGCCACTGGTAACCTGCGACATGGGTGACAGGCTCAGTGACACATCTTGACACAGACTGTCAGTGTAGGAGGTGCTGGGAGGCCATCCAGGCCTCCTGTCTGTTGTAGCCGAGAAGGGAAGGGACTTGTCCAGGGCCTCCCCAGGGAAGGGCAGCCAGGCAGGCACCAGCCCAGAGCTGGCAGACACATGGCCACTGAGAAGACAGCGACCGGCCAGGCCTCCCTCACACACACACACACACACACACACACACATCCCTCACAGGTACCCCGGACAGGCCTCCCTCACACAGGGGTACACCGGACAGGCCTCCTCACAGGGGGTACCCCAGACAGGCCTCCTCACCACAGGGTACCCCGGACAGGCCTCCCTCACACAGGGGTACACCGGACAGGCCTCCTCACAGGGGGTACCCCGGACAGGCCTCCTCACAGGGGGTACCCCGGACAGGCCTCCTCACAGGGGGTACCCCGGACAGGCCTCCTCACAGGGGGTACCCCGGACAGGCCTCCTCACAGGGGGTACCCCGGACAGGCCTCCTCACAGGGGGTACCCCGGACAGGCCTCCTCACAGGGGGTACCCCGGACAGGCCTCCTCACAGGGGGTACCCCGGACAGGCCTCCTCACAGGGGGTACCCCGGCCAGGCCTCCCTCACAGGGGGTACCCCGGACAGGCCTCCCTCACACAGGGGTACACCGGACAGGCCTCCTCACAGGGGGTACCCCGGACAGGCCTCCTCACAGGGGGTACCCCGGACAGGCCTCCTCACAGGGGGTACCCCGGACAGGCCTCCTCACAGGGGGTACCCCGGACAGGCCTCCTCACAGGGGGTACCCCGGACAGGCCTCCTCACAGGGGGTACCCCGGACAGGCCTCCTCACAGGGGGTACCCCGGACAGGCCTCCTCACAGGGGGTACCCCGGACAGGCCTCCTCACAGGGGGTACCCCGGCCAGGACTCCCTTACATGGGGTACCCCGGACAGGCCTCCCTCACACAGGGGTACACCGGACAGGCCTCCTCACAGGGGGTACCCCAGCCAGGCCTCCCTCACACGGGGTACCCCGGACAGGCCTCCTCACAGGGGGTACCCCAGCCAGGCCTCCCTCACACGGGGTACCCCGGACAGGCCTCCTCACAGGGGGTACCCCAGCCAGGCCTCCCTCACACGGGGTACCCCGGACAGGCCTCCTCACAGGGGGTACCCCAGCCAGGCCTCCCTCACACGGGGTACCCCGGACAGGCCTCCTCACAGGGGGTACCCCAGCCAGGCCTCCCTCACACGGGGTACCCCGGACAGGCCTCCTCACACGGGGTACCCCAGCCAGGCCTCCCTCACACGGGGTACCCCGGACAGGCCTCCTCACACGGGGTACCCCAGCCAGGCCTCCCTCACACGGGGTACCCCGGACAGGCCTCCTCACACGGGGTACCCCAGCCAGGCCTCCCTCACACGGGATCTGCACTCAGAGGTCTGCAGCTGGTGGCAGGCCCTGGAGGAAGAAGGCTGCTGGGGCTGGGAGTGAGGGGCCCAGCTGTCCTGCCCTGGGGCCACACCTGCCCCTGTCTGTCCTGCAGGGACACCTGTCCAGCCGCCTGACATGGGTCTGCCTCCCTCCCTCCCTCTCTCCGCTGCCCCTGTCCCCCTCCCCCAGGGAGCGGCCCCAGGCCCTGGAGGGTGGGGGAGCACCTGGGGCCTCCCAGCCCCCTTGGCTGCCCTGCTGTGCCCTGAGGTGGGGGCTGGAGGGGGGAAGGGCCTGGTGTGGGTCCAGCCTCCAGCCACCAGCCACTGTTTTCTCTCTCGCCCATCTAGGTCGGAACGAGCTGATCGCGCGCTATATTAAACTGAGGACGGGCAAGACCCGGACGAGAAAGCAGGTAGAGACTGTTGATGTGGAGGCCGCCCTGCCTGCACGCTCTCAGCCCCTCCGTCCCCATGCCCTGCCCCGAACCGCCCCGCCCTCTCTGGGCCACTTCACACCCCCTAGAGCTGCAGCGTCACTCACCACTGGCTTCTCTGACCACCCACCACCCACCTAAGACTTGTGGTTCAGTGACCGATGATACGGCCATGGGGCAGCCGTGGCAGCTCCATGGTCACTGCCCTGAGAGGCCCACTGACCAGTCAGGGGACAGACGGCTGGATGGACGTGCGCAGGGGTGTGCGCTGTGGGGCAAGCACCTAGCCCAGGCTGGGCAGGGGAGGGGAGGAGCGGAGCTGGGAAGGCTTCCTAAAGGGAAAGGATTTGCGGGCGGGAGAGGGAGGAGAGGGAGCGATTCTCCAGGCTGAGGAAGTCGGATACAGATGTAACTGTGAGTCCGTACAGAGCTACTTGCTATTACTTTCCTTGGTCCTCACAGCAGCCTGAGCGGCAGGTACAGCAGTTCCCTCCGTTTTACAGAGGAGGAAACTGAGGCACGGGGAAGTTAAGTAACTGCCTTGCTGGTAGGTGGTGGGTCCAGGGCTCAGCCACTAGGCAGGAAAGAGCCTTCAGTC